TTCAATGGGTGGCTTGGCACAACATATATGAATTAAATACAAAATTTCGTGCATCTTGGAAACTCTTATATTATTAAAATTTTTTATAGATAGATAGAAACTGGCGAACTTGCAATAATTTGCTTGACATCTTTCATATGTAACATATAATAAATCTGGTATTTATTCATATATATTCCTTTTAGGGTAGCAAAGCACACTGGGTATAGCTAGTATAAACATAAAATTAAACACGCAGAATCCTAATTGAACGAAAATTTAAAAAGGATACTTTCTGGTACTTTTTTGTTATTTTATTAATACTTTTCGAATTTTCTAAAATATTGAACCTAAAATTGGACACGCGGCTTCCTGATTGTATAAAAATCTGTATGCGATGAATTTCTGATTTAATGAAAATCTATAAAAAGGCACAGTCTGGTACTTTATCCGTCTTCAACGGTTTTTTCTGTAATATTGAGACTAGAATCATAAAATCAAACTTATAGAGTTCTCTAAAAGGGGGATTTTTTGATATTGCATTTTATTCCATTACGATGAGGGTAGCGAAGCACACTGGGTATAGCTAGTACATTATAATTTAAATAGAACAAATACTTGAATTCATTCGTTGAATTACAGTTTAATTTAAACCTTGAAGTATAACATAATAGAAAAATAGAAGGTAGTGTCAATATCTCTTTATTTTTTAAAATTCGACATCTGACATTCTTAAGGATTATGAAGTTTTCATAGAAATCGTTTAACCATATTAATTTGAAAAATTCCAGTAAGTTTGTATAAAAATTAAACAAAATTGAATAAATGCATTGAATTCAATGGTACGATTAATAACATATTTAATATTAAACAGAAACTAATTATTTAAAAAATTTAAACAGGAAAATATATTGATAATTTACAAGAAGATTTGCTAAAAGAGCTGGTTATGAGTTTGCTTTATATAAAAAACAATGCAATATCCACATTGTTAAAACTAAACTTGTCAAAGTGCATATGTTTCCAGCATTACCTTCTTCTGTCTGGTCGACTGACGGATTGAATTTCTACGCAAACTTTGATGGACTGGAAAGCTTTTATAGTTACGAACCTTAAATTTTGCAAGAACTACATTGGCATCTACTTGAATAATTGGAACAAATGGATAGTCTATCGAAGCACATTGGACATAGCTAACTATAAATAAAAATGATTAAGCAATAAACGTATCGTCACCTAAAACGCAAACGGCCCTATATAACAATTTTAAAATTTTACAGGAGAAGCAAAAAACTATTGAAATTGAAAAGTTTGTTTCTATCAACGCGATTTATTTGTAGTAAAAAAACAAATTGTTAAATAGTGAAACCTATCAGTTGTTACGATAGTTGACAATGGCGTATAAAAAAGTGGATAAATTGGACTTTTTACCTTTAATATTTAAATGTGTTTGTAGATAGGGCCTTTTGTTTTTTGTCAATAAAATAGCTAGTTTTGGTCGGAAGAGTCCAATTTTTTGTGTGTACATTTGTTTTGATGCAATACATTATAATCAACAATAAAATCGATTTTGAATTTTTGGTTAGTTAAGGCCGTTTGCATTTCAGGTGACGATATATAGAATAGTGTGATTTCATTATACGTTTATAGCAGAAAATTATAGCCGTAGTTTAGTCAATAGTCAAGTCTATAGTTTAGGCTTTATGCTAGTCTATAGGTTGGACTATGTATAGTCAAAACTACAGTCCAAAAAAATATAATAAATTCATTATTGTAATAAAAATAATTTGAAAAATGTATTATTTAGATCAGTGTGCTGTCGTTATCAGTATGTCGTAAAAATTAATAATAGAACAAATCTAATAATAAATTACAACTTCTTCACTAAAAATTTCTAGGAACTTAGCATAATTTTTTAAAATATTGCAACGCTTTATTCAATTTTAATAAAAAAGGAAACTTCAAAAAACCTTATTAAAAATTAACATTTTTGATTGACACTACCTTCTTTATTTTTATCATGAAGTATAATGTATGCCCCTATTATGGTTTACAACTCAACTCAGTTGAGTTGAAATTGAAACAACTCAACTTTAGAACAACTCAACTTATATTTGGTATTATGATTTATTCTTTGGTATTATGAATTACAACCAATTTCAGTTGTAATTGTGTTGATGTTGCCAACCTAAAAAGTGCTTTTTTGTCATAAAATTAAGTGAAAAGTTTATGAATTTCTGTTTTTCGTAAATGACAAATGTATTGAACATCTTTTTATTGTAAATTCGCTTAAAATCAGTGATTAATGAAATTTAAGAAAATTTAAAAAAAAAACTTTACCTTGTTTTATTTTAAAAATTTATTCTAAACAATTGAGTTGTAATTTGTTACAACTGCTTTTGATAAGTTGTAATTTTTTTCAAAAAAGTTGTAATAAATTTCAACTTTAAATTTTAAGTTGTTATCGATAATACCAAAGAGCAAAATTTCAACTAAAGAAGAGTTGAGTTGTAAACCATAATAGGGGCAGTAATTTAAATCGAAAAAATCCTGCTCATGATGTAATAAGTAGGGTGAGAGCGTTTCGGCAACAAACACAATATTTTTTTGTTGTCTAGAGTTGGGTTTTGTCAAAATGAAATTTCTAAAATTGAAAAATAATAAACATTGGAAAGAAATAGTTTTTGTGTATTTCACAAAATTACCTATAAAACCGTCGTTACATTTAGCTTGTATCTGCAGCAGGACAATGTTTTAATGCTTCTTCATCTGAGTTTTCTTATTTGAAAACTTTCCATGAACATTTTAATTCATAATTTTAAATTTTCATTTTTTTTGCTTTGAAAACACAAATATAATTTTTTTTAGAATAAAAATAAATTAATTCATTTTGACACAACCCAAGCACTTTTTAAATAAACAAATAAAAATCAGCTGCCTTAACGATTTCACCTTACTTAGTGCATCCTGATCCTACTGATATTTATGTATGTATGTATGTATGTATGTATGTATGTATGTATGTATGTATGTATGTATGTATGTATGTATGTATGTATGTATGTATGTATGTATGTATGTATGTATGTATGTATGTATGTATGTATGTATGTATATTTGTATGTGTGTATATAATAGATTCAAAATTTATTAAAAAAATTAAGCAAATGGATATTATAAACATACATAAGTACAAAATGAATGAAATATGATTCTTATTACATATTAAATACATAAGTAGGTGATTTTTATAAACTATTTTTAAACAGACACTTTGCAGCATGTTTACATCTTCAAACGTCCAAATAAATCAGCCAGATATTTAAAAAATTTCCATGAAGCCAGAAATATTGTCTATATAAAAATGGTCAATATATATACATATATATATTTTTTCATTTGAATTTAATAGTTTAATAGCAAAGAAACCTTTTTTAAATCACTTAAATACCTTTTATTTAAATTTAGAATCGAAAATTAACGGGTTTAATCTATATGTGTGATGAAATACAAAATATTATTATTTTAAAAATATTTTCAATTTTTTTTTGTTTGACAAGAAAATAAAGTTTGAAGAAATTTTTTTGGTTATTCTTTTACTTGAAAACAGTATTGGAATTAAAGTTGAAATCCAGTTAAATTTCAAACACTTGAAATCATAATTTTTGAGTGCTTATTGGGTATCATTTATCAAAAATCATTTCTCAAAAAAAAAAAACGTTTATCTGTAGGTATCAATTGGTTGGTTCCTTGGGATCATCACAATTTTAATAAATAGCAAAGATCATCTTAGTATGCATTATATAAATATCAAATCGATTTTTTTTTTCTTGTAAAGTTGAATCTGTTGGATCTATAGCTACGAAATTTTCAGAGATGATGCTAATAGACCTTAATTATCGATTTCTATAAAAAAAAACTAAAATCGAAAATCATGTCGCTTACGTCCATTTTGCAAAAAGGGCTCGATATCAATCGAAATCTTGACACTGCCCCCTTCAATAATTGATTTTAACGTTTTCTACGTACTTAATAATACCATAATAAACAATTTTTGTTGGAACGAAAATATGTCTACCAAATTTTAAGACGATCGAAGCATAATTTACCCTAAACCCATATGAAATCTTCTTCAGAAAATGATTTAAACGCACATAAATGGCTTTCAAATGTCGATGTCGACGAAAAAAACACTTTTAGGAACCGAAACCTATATTTATGAAAAATAAAATTATGAGGATCGGTCCGCCAATATAACCCTCTTACAGAAAATCAGTTTATAGCTAATACATCATTCCAAAAGTTATCATTTTATGACAGAATTATGGTAGAATTAAAAAAAAATACTTTAAATTATAGAGAACTTGGTCCATAATTGACCCAATTCCACATTTAAGTCCCTAATCCTAAAATCACGCTGACGTTCTTATTAATCTAATGATCAAAGTCCATATATATATGTATATGACCACTTCCGAAATTTGCTTTTTTACGACATATGATTTGCCGAATATAACTCTTACTTCTTACTTATTTTAATCATAAAGAAATTACCGCTAAAATAGGAATAGTCTGTCTTTAGAGTTGCGAGTTTTCATACACTCTAATAATGTTTTCAAAGTGAAACTTTTGGAATATTTTTCAATCTCTTTGTGATCCCTTTAATTGATGTTGTTCTGGAAGAAACTGATTTTCTGCAAGATGTTTTATATGGAGGATATGGTTAAATATCGGCCGATCCTCGTAAAACTTGGAGAAAGGATTTGTTTTTAATTTTTAAGAATTTTTTATTCATGCCTGCATAATTTCTCACACAACTTTTGAGCTTGCTCTGTTTTGTTGTTATGAACAATATATTTGCTTCCAAAATCCCACTTTCTGATCTCGGATTCCGTTTTTATTCAAAATCGTTGAATATTTAAAAACTAAACGTAGTTGAAAACTTAGCCGGCTTATAGTCGATTTCAAGCCGCCGCCAATATATTTAGTGTAAGTCGCCGCCGCCGTTAATATTTGTCGGCGCAGGGCTCTGATGGAGATTCATTGAATTTTTATTTATAAAAAGACGTGAAGAAAAAAGTTCTAACGAAAAACTAAACTATTAATAAAACGGAAACTGTTAATTAAAAAACGCACATTAGTAGCTGAAATAAAGTGTAATAAAATAATTAACACAACTCTGAAGATTTTGCCTACAGAGGAGTTGCAGTGAAACCTCGCAAGAACAAAAAATTTAATAGAAAATGACAATGAAAAAACAATTACGTCTGCTAGCTAAACCCTATTATTGGGTTAATATCTTAATGGCCCTGTCCTATTTAATAGCCAAAAAGACGATACCTATTTGTTCAAGGATATTCAAGCATCGCGGCGAAGATGAAATGTGTGATCTGGATAGTCGAGAAACTGAGATTTTATTCTTTCTACTAATTGTGATAATGATAAGAAGTCGCAAAACGGGTAGTGTTACTATGATCAACTATTTATCCTCTTCATTCTTGTATACCAAAGTAGCAAATGCCATCCTGTGGGCTTATAGCGATTTCCGTTATGGTTTGGGCTTTTTGCTATTGTGTGTGCTAGTGGGTATGCTACTGCCGGAGCCCACCTACAAGGGACCTGAACATATAACTTACTTCCGTACAGCACAATCGTTTGAAGATGAGCTGGCCCGTGATAAACGTATCAATTGGTTGATTTGCTTTTATACGGTGTGGAATCCCAGTTGTGTCAATTTTGCTCCCATATTTGCCGAACTATCGGCAGAATACAATTTGGATAATTTGAAATTTGGTAAAATTGATATTGGACGTTTTCCCGAAATGGCTCAAAAGTATCGCATATCCGATAGCAGTTTCTCACGTCAGTTACCCACTGTTATATTGTTCCAGAATGGCAAAGAGTCAGAACGTCGTCCCATGGCTGATGCTAAGGGTAAATTACAGAAATTTTTCTTTTCATCGGACAATGTTAGAGCCGCTTTTGGTTTGAACAACTTGTACAAACAATGTGTAGAGAATCCTATACCTGCAAAGGGCGCTGTAAAACAAAATGCTGCTGCTATTAAAAAGTCTCAATAAAATAATTTTTTGGAGGAAAATACATCATATAACTTGAATATCGTCATTTTGTTTGCTTTTGTTTTTTAAATTTATTATTAGAAATACTTGAACAAATGATAACAAGGGTTCTTAACTGATTTTTGGAAACAAGAACGAATAAGAGATACCGCCTATAACGCAATACTACATACTATTATTAGTTAGTGTAATAGATATCGCTCATTTGCTTCTAAAGTGTAATAACTTAAAATTTCTAAAAAAAATATAACGAAATTGTTTATTATTTTCGTAATTTAAGTTGGAGAACACTTTTGAAGTAAATAGGCAAAGTTTAAATCAATTATATAAAATATGTCTTCATTAATGATAGTTATTCTTATGATGTAAAGTTTAAGCACCATTAACAAAAGCTATAGAGAGTTTTTAAATATTTTTTTAAACCTTTTTCTTTTGGAAATGGTGCACTTAAGACAATTATATTGTTACAGCTATTTATAATTTATTTATAAAAACACAATGCTTCGTTTTAATCACGTTTTAGTAATTTGTATTTATTTTTGTTTTAGTTTTATGATTAGTTTGTTATATTTTTTGCATTTATTGTAAAATTTAAAGTATTTTCTTGATTAATATAAAAATTTTGTTTATTTAAGCATAAAATTCATACTTATAATTTTGCCATATTTGTTTTTTGTTTAGTCGATATAGCACGGGAAATTTAACAAGCATTTTATATTAGTTAAACATTTTTAAGTTTTAAACTTTAGTTTTTTTCTTGTCAGTTTTAGCGAAAAATATATAATAAAGAATTTTTAATAAAAAAATAAAGTTTTTTTTTTTTTAATTCAGAAATATGCAAATTAACTTTATAATTTCTTTAGAAATGAAATTCTTGATGAAATTGAATTAATTGACATTCGTAAAAGTAACAAAATTACAGTAAGTCCCTTCTAAACTACTCAGTGGATCAAAAATAAATTGATCACACATTCTTTTTGGTATGAATTCAATTCTGTATTATTTTGATGGAATTTGTTATGGTTTTTCGGATTTGGTTTGATTCTTAAAAAGCTTATATTTTGAAATGAGTTCGAAAATTCTTTAAAATTTTAAAATAAGTTATAAAAATAAAAAATTCAGTGATGATTTTTCAGTTATAGAAAATATACCGAAACACAAACTATTTTCGTGTCATAATACTTCAAAATGAACTGATATTGATTTATACATTTTGGGCGGTAATTTTAATGCATATTTTTGTAAAAAATCAAAATTTAAGTGCAAGAAAACAAAAAAAATAATCGCTTTATTTGATTTTTGTAATGTTAACTAACATTTTATGATAACACAGTTTAAACGATAAAACAGTTCACCACACTATTTGCTGCAGCACCACCTAGTGTTAGGTAGCTTAAAATATCCCTCTACCATCAACTGCAGCCAACTTCATGCATAAATGTCAACGAAAATTTCCCTTTTTTAATAAAATTTCCCTTTTTACTCGCTGTTTCAACTTCCTTTTCGTGCTTGCGCTCTTTCCTTTTACATCAATATGGCTGATCAGGTAAGACGCGAAGAAAATTCTACGTTTTTTTTCAATAAAACCCACAAAAATGTGCTGAAAATGTGAAAATTCTATTAAAAAGTGAAAATTAAAATGAAAACCTATCGTTGAGTGTAGGATTTATGTGGAAATTTTCAAGAAAAATGTGAAAAATCGAGAAAATTAAGTGACAGATTGCAGTGTTTTCAGGGCGAGTAACAACACCACGCGGAGCAAAAAAAAGAAAATTCAATTAAACTAGAAAAAATGTGTAATAATAAGAATAAACAAGTGTTAAAGAATAATTTTCTAAAAAATAAAAGTACTTAAAGTTTCTAATTGGCTTTTAAAATCTATTAATTAATGTTTTAGATTTTTTTTTTGTTTAGTAAAAAGAAAATAACCTTACTTTTTGAGTTAAAGTGAGTCAATTTTTTTTTTGTTGGAATTTTTATTTAAAGCAAACCGAACGTGCTTTCCGTAAACAATTTACTGTGCCTGTGATACGTCGCAAGCCTAATAATTATAAGAAAAAGCCACGTTTTCATCGCAGCATTGGTCTGGGTTTCCGTACTCCGGCCGAGGTGAGTTTCAAGAACAAAAACTAACTAATTTGTGTTTTGTTTTTTCTTTATATATTTCTATGCACGCCCTTTTATCCTACAAATAAAAAACAAACATTTCCCTACCAACAATGAACGTTTACACCTAATTCATATGCATTTGTTTAAATGGAATGATTAACAAAAAAACACAAACAATTCCTGAATGCTGCATAACAAAACAAACATCCACAACCCTATTCCAAATGCATTTGTTGTGTTATGTCCGTGTGTGTGTACTCCAGCAAAACGAGAGAGCCTTCCAAAAACAATTCGGCATTAACCTAAACAGAAAGGTTAAGCCCGGTATCACCAAGAAGAAGGTACTCCGCCGTTACCGTGATATCGGTTTGGGTTTCAAGACTCCCCGTGATGTAAGTTTTTTTCTCTTGTTTATTATTTTGTTTTCCCCACTTTTTTTTACTAATTTATTGTTATTTAAGTATAATTTTGAAAACAAGTGAATGATAAAATAATGTTATTTACATTTTATGAAAAGAATTTAAGAAATTTGTTTATATACATAGTAGAGAATATTTTAACAGAATTATGGAACATTATAGAACATAGTTGTAAATAGAATGTTTGTTTATCATTCACTTTTGCTAAAAGTTTATTCAAATTTTTTTTACTTTTTTTATTTGTTTACTAACAACTGGTTTATTTTCTTCTTTTACTTCTTTAGGCTATTGATGGCACTTACATTGACAAGAAATGCCCCTTCACCGGCAATGTAAGAATTCGTGGTCGCATCTTAACCGGTGCCGTACGTAAAACTAAAATGCAACGTACCATTGTACTCCGTCGTGATTACTTGCACTTTGTACGCAAATACAGCCGTTTCGAAAAACGTCACAGAAACATGAGCGCTCACTGCTCTCCCTGCTTCAGGTTAGTTGCAGTTTTTTTTTTAATTTTTCTCAAACAAATTATGATTTATTAAATTGAAATTGTGAATTCAAATTTACCGTATTGGGTTTTCTGCTAAATTTTGAATATTTTTTGTTCAAAAATTTTAAGATATGACAAGAGTTTACTTTGGGTTTACTTTGTAACTTGATTTGTAAACAATAATGTTGGAATTTGTTAATTAAATATCTACATTGTTTTGTTCTTTTTGAAACGATGTACGTAATAACTAATTCCACTGACAGTGAGTTCATACAGTTTTTGGTATCAATTTTAACAAAACTTAATCTAAGGATTAAGCAAAGTTTAGTTTAAACATTCTAATAAAGCAAAAACATTTATTCTTCTAATAACTCAACAATTTCAATTTAATTATCTTAAAACACAAATTTTTCTTTTAAATGATGATAAAATCATGACGGTCTTCATAAACATAATTGCTGAAAAAACTTGATATTTTTACTTTTAAGTAAAAGAACTGAAAATGAAAAAATTAAACAAACACTTTAAATTCTATTTTAAAACAACTTTCATTTTAAATATTTTTAAATAAATCTGTTTCTCTTTTCTTAAATTACAGAGATGTTGAAATCGGCGATATTGTTACCATTGGCGAATGTCGTCCCTTGTCCAAGACTGTTCGTTTCAACGTATTGAAGGTCTCCAAGGGTCATGGTTCCAAGAAGAGTTTCAAGAAATTCTAAATTACTGTTAACAACACCACATAGAACCAAGATGCTTTTCTATTTAGTTTGATGTTCAAACTATGCTTCTTTGATTTTTATAGAAATAATAAAAACAAAACTCTTTAAAAAATCAAATTCAAATTTCCAGTTCTTGTTTGTTATTTTTTTTTATTACTTTTTATTTAGATTTTCAGTTGGTTATTTTGGGGGCTTAATGGTTTACACTCTCTAGGGTTTATAAAGGTAATTATAGTACAATTTTATTTTAATTTTATATTATTTGTTTTATAAACTGATGATAAAATCATGACGGTCTTCATAAACATAATTGCTGAAAAGACTTGATATTTTAACTTAAATCTACTGATACAATTTTTAATTAAATACAATATTTTTGGTGTAAAGTAAAACGATTTTTTAATGAAGTTTTTCTTTAATTCATAATGTTATGTTTTCAATTATTATTTGGTCTTTATTTTCTCCAACTGTTTTTGGTTTAAACTATATTTTTATTTAACATTTACTAGACTTCTTTTACAACACCAGAACTATTGAAATGATTAAACATATTTTTGCTTTTAAAAATTGTAGATTTTGATTGAAAACTAATTATTTTTAATTTCTTTTAATTTCCAGCTCCTTTTTAATTTAAAATTCAACAGTTTTCGCACATTTTCTTATTTAAAAGGTAATTATAATATAATTTTTTAAAAAGAATACATTTTTAATCTGATGATAAAATCATGACGGTCTTCATAAACACAATTGCTGAAAAGACTTGATATTTTAACTTAAATCTACTGATAAAATTTAATAAAAATTAATTTCTTTTAAATTGTTTTCCAATTACTAATGTACATTTTTAAATTCTCTCTATTTGCAGATATTTTGTTAGGGATCTTGTTACAAACATTACATTTCCATTTAAAGCTGCGATGATAGTAACTAGTGGGGTTTATTTTGTAAAACATTTTAACTCGCTTCAAACATTTTTAAAGTAAATTTTTCTCATTTTTTTATTTGAAAAATGTTTTTCAACGTCTTTTTTAAAATTATTATCATATTAAATAAAAATAATTAAAAAGATTAATTAAATTTAATAAAACTGTGTTTATTTTCTTTTTATTTCTAAATTTTTTTTTATAGTTTGAACTAAAAATATATTATGGATCTTTTTAATTAAGGATTTAAACGGAAGTAGCGAAAATATCAAGAAATAGTAATAAGAAAGTATTGAACTATTGAAATAGCAAGTAAACAGATGATTCTAAATAGCAATTAACAACAATTATTCGCTAATGTAAGTACATATATATTGTATATT